AGGAGTCTGGGCTGGAGCCCACGTGGATGAAACACCAATGGTGGGACTATGTGGTGGCGACAGAAGCAGTAGCAGTTCTGGGAGCTCTCAAGCCAGAGATGGTAAGGGGACCTGGCAACTGGACAGAGATAGTTTACAGTGGACGGGACCCATGTGCTAGCACTGGAGGCAGGACCAGAATCTGTTTGGCAACTACACTGCCTATACCCACTTCTGGGTCATAGTCCATGGACAGAGAGGAGCACTTTCAGTCAAGTGAGAGTAGAAGACTGGAGGGGCAGTTCCACTTCTAGGCCCGAAAGATCAGGGTCATATTATTTTGTCTCCTAAGGAGCAGATTGAAAACAAAAGAACAGTGACCATACTTCTGCCCAGATCAAACACCTCAAATCAAAATAATACATTAAAAAAGCAAATTGGCCAAATGGAAAAAGGGGACAAAAGCTCACTAAAGAAAATAATTCCTTAAAAATTAAAATTGAGAAAAGTGGAAGTTAATGACTCCATGAGACATCAAGAAACAATAAAACAATCAACTGACACAAAAAAACAGATTGAGGAGAGATAAATTTAAGAATTATTAGGCTACCTGAAAGCCAAGATGAAAGCCTAGATATCACATCTTTAGAAATTATTAAAGAAAACCCGGTATCTTAGATGGAAACAAAAATTAAAACAATCTATCAAATCTACCAAAAACCTGCAAATCCTCAAAACTAGCTCTGAAAACAGCATTGTGAAAGAGCCTGAAGTCTGAGACAGAGGTTCACTCCCCAACCCCCATGGCAGTTATAGCATTAACATACGGTTCCAAATAAAAAATATGGTGGGAAAATGAGCAAACAACAAAAAAGAACCTGACCATAAAAGCTACTGTGATGAAAGGGAAGATCAAGAGACAAACTCAGGAGTCAACTATGTCAAACAGCTCAAAGAAAAAAAAATGTGAATTGGACACAAGCCCGAACACAAATTCCTAGAAGAGCTGAAAAAATGATCTCCAAAATCAAATAAAAGTGGTAAAGGAAAAATTAGGTAAAGAAATGAAAGCAAAGGAAGAAAATTATGAAAAGATAATTAACAGCTCAGTAAAAAAAAAGGCACAAAAAGTACTAAATAAAATAATACATTAAAAAAGCAAATTGGCCAAATGGAAAAAGAAGTACAAAAGCTCACTGAAGAAAATAATTCCTTAAGAATCAGAACTGGGGGAAATGGAAGTTATGACGACATGAGACATCAAGAAGCAATAAAACAATCAACTGACACAGAAAATAGATTGAGGAGAGATAAATTTAAAAATTATTAAGGTTACCTGAAAAAGCCTAGATATCATATCTGAAGAAATTATAAAGGAAAACTGGCCCCAATATCTCAGATGGGTAAAACAAAAACCAAAAGAATCTATTAACACCACCTGAAAAGAGATCCCAAAATAAAAATTCCCAGGAATAGCACAGCCAAATTCCATAGCTCCTAGGTCAAGGAGAAAATATTCCAAGTAACCCAAAAGCAACTATTCAGATTAACATGAAGCCACAGTCAGAATCATATAAGATCTAGCAGCTACCCCATTATAGGAGTGGAGGGCTTAGAATATAATATTCCAGAAGGCAAAGGAGCTAGGATTACAACCAAGCATAACCTACCCAGCAAAACTGAGTATAATCCTTTAATTTAATTTCATTAAATAGAGAGCTTTCAAGCATTCCTGATGAAAAGACTGGAGTTGAATAGAAAATATGACTTTCAAATATAAGAATCAAGAGAAACATAAAAAGGTAAAAATGAAAGTGAAATCCTAAGGAACTCAACAAGGTTAAACTGTTTACCTTTCAATATGTGAAAATGAAACATGTTATCTTCTAAGAACTTTATCATTATTAGGGCAGTTAGGAGGATTTGACATAGAATGAGGCGTAAGTCTATTATGTTGGGATGACATAAGAAAAAAATAAGGAAGAAAGAGATGCTGGGAGAAGTGGAAGGGAGAGGAAGAATGGGGAAATTACTTCACATAAAAGAGATATGCAAGGAAGAACTTTTATAGTTGAGGAGGAAATGGTGTGGGGGTGGCAATACTTGAACCTCCCTCACATCTAAATTGGAGAAAGAGAAAGAGAGAGAAGGATAACCAGAAGAACATAGGATGGAAGGAAATGCACAGTTAGTTATCATAGCTGTGAATGTGAATGGGAGGAGCTCACCCATAAAACAGAAACAGATAGCAGAATGGATTAGAAATTAGAATTCAACAATATGTTGTTTACAAGAAACATACTTGAAACAAAGAGACACATAACAAAGTGAAAGCAAGGGGCTGGAACAGAAGCTATTATGCTGAAGTAAAAAAGGCAAGAGTAGCAATAATGATCTCAGACAAAGCAAAAACAAAAACACACCTAAATAAAAGGGATAATCAGGGAAACTACATTTTGCTCCAAGGCACCATAAACAATGAAGTAATAGCAATATTAAACATAAATGCACCAAATGGCATAGCAGCCAGATTCTTAAAGGAAATGGACAGTAAAGGAAATTTCCTTTCAGAGCTAGCTACATCTAAACATAGAATAAATAAGTCAAGGAGATGAACAGAATCTTAGAAAAGTTAGAGATGACAGACCTCTAGAGAAAATTTAATAGGAATAGAAAGAAATACCTTTTTTGCAGCTGTACATGGCACCTTCGTACAAAATAGCTACATATTAGAGCATAAAAACCTCACAACCAAATTCAGAAAAGGAGAAATATTAAATGCACCCCTTTCTGACCATGTTACAATAAAAATTATGTTTAATAAAAAGGACCTTGGAAACACAGATTAAAAATTAATTGGAAACTACATAAACTAATCCTAAAGAATAAGCAGGTCAAAAAATAAATCATAGAACAATCAATAATTTCATTAAAGAGAATGATAACAATGAGACAACATTCCAAAATTTGTGGGATGCAGCCAAAGCAGAACTTAGAGGAAAATTTATATTTCTAAATGCATATATCAATAAAAAAGAAATAAAACAGATCAATGAATTGGACATGCATCTAAAACAAAACCCAAAACCAATAAATTAGAAATCCTCAATTAAACATCAAAATGGAAATCCTGAAAAATCAAAGAAGAGATTAATAAAACTGAAAGTAAAAAAAAAAAACACCATTGAACTAATAAAACTAGGAGCTATTGGGGGGAGGGGAGATAAAAATAGATAAACTATTGGTTAATTTGATCTAAAAAAAAAACCCTAAGTACTTGTTTCAAAAATAAAATAAGTGAATGTATCACCAATGAAGATGAAATTAAAGCTATTATTAGGAGTTATTTTGCCCAATTATAAGCCAGTAAAACTGACAATCTAGGTGAAATGGATGAATATTTACAAAAACATAAACTGCCCAGATTAATAGAAGAAGAAATAGAGTACTTAAATCACTTTCTTTATTATTCTTGGTTTTTTGGTCTGTTTTCTTTTGCAACATGGCTAATATGGAAATGTTTTATATGACCACATATGTATAATCTTTATCAAATTACTTGCCTTCTCAATTAGGGGTGAGGAGAAGGAGAGCACTTGGAACTCAAAATTTTTAAAATGATTATTAAAAAAATTATGTGTAATAAGGAAATATTTAATGAAATTAATAAAAATAATTTTAAAAAAACAATTATTAGCATTGAGATGGTAATTAAATCCATGGGAGCTGATGAGGTCACCAAGTATTATAGAAGGAGAAGAGAAAAGGATTCAGGACACAAAACTGAGGGACACCTATAGATAGAGGGTGTGATCTGAAAAAGGATCCAAGCAAAGGAGACTGAGAAGGAGCAGTCAGATAGGTAGGAGGAAAACCAAGAGAAAGTAGAAAGTGGATGCATCTACTGTAAGTAGCATAGCTAACAAAAGGCAGAAGAGATTTAGGATAATAGTTAGAAGTGATAGAAGGATCAAGTAAGAGTTTTTTCAGGAGGGGGAGACATGGGTATGTTTGTAATTAGTAGGAAATGAGCCAGCAGACAGAGAGAGATTAAAAATAACTGAAAAAATGTGATGACAAAGGGAGCAATCTATTGGAAGAGATGGGATGGAATGAGATCACATGAACAAGTAGGTAACAGCCATGGTAAGAAGTAAGGCCACTTCATCGTGTGAGACAGGGATGAAAGAAAAGAGTGGCAGAAGGCACCTGAGGGATAGGTGAAGAGAGGAAAAGAAGGAGTTCATGGCAAATAGCCTTATTTTTTTCTGTAAAATACAAGGCAAGGTTCTTAGCTGAGAGAGTAGGAGAAAGTCAGTGAAGTTTGAGAAGACGAAACGGTTTGGAAGAGCCACTGTGGAGAGTGGGACAGTGAGTTGATAAAAGAGGAAGAAAGACTGTCGAGCAGCAGCAAGGGCCCAGTTGAGGATGTACAGCATAAATCTATAGTGGACCTGGTCAGAATAGTTGTGTGATTTTCTCCTCCTTTGTTCAGCAGCACATGTACAGGAGAGTGAAAGGTGATGAATACTGGGACTGATCCAAGGCTGAGGCCAGGCTGGGTATAATGTTAAGTGTTCTTTCTCTCCTAATACTATTTATTTGTACTTGTCACAAGAGTATAGAATGTACCTTGCCAGTAGGCTAGAAGTTCCTGGAAGGTTAGAAACAATTTCACTGTTTGTCTGGTTCACAAGTTGCTAATACAGGGAAATTAAGAAGAGCTTGCTAACCTCACAGCATTATAAACCTAGTGCTGGAATTCTTCTAGCCCAACACTTTCATTTTTATAGATCAAGAAGTTTACATTCAGAGTTTCAGTGACTTGCCCAAGGTCACCTGAGTAGTGAGAGCTGGGAATTGAACTCAGGTCCCAGGCTTCCCATTCTGACTGCACCTCACTGCCTTCTTACAAGTGAGCTACATCAAAAGCTACAGAAAGAATTCCATCAAGATTCTGAAGGAGTTTGTAGAGAGATGCCACAGAAAAGGAACAGAAGTTTTAAGCTCACTTCACTCACCTGCCGATCCACCTCTGGAAGCAAAAGCAAAAGTCGCTGCTGGCAGTCCCCAGGAAGGACTGAAAATGTGTGTTTGTTAATTAGAGCCCTCAGATTGGTGTTAACCAGGATAGAATCAGGTGTTTCAACATCAATTTCAGCACATTTAGTCCTTTTCAGTTGCCCTGAAAAAAATGTTACAAGGAATATGAACAATAAATCTGTAAATAGAGAACATTTTATTCTGGTCCTTTCTCATTTTCTTATTAGCCTTAAGGTACTTGGAATCTCCTGCTCTGATTAATCTTCATACGCAATGTTATTCACAAAGCCCTTTCTTCATAATTACCCTAGGAGTTAAGGAAGACAAGTTTTATCTCTTTATTAGCAGAAGAGGCCCTTGAAAGGTTAAGTAACTTACCCATGCTCACAAAGCTGGTAAGTGATTTTACAGGTCATTCAATGCTAAAGTCAGCATCTTTTTCCTTTCTACCACGCTCCTCACAATACAATCATCTCCTAAAGAATAGAAGCCCCTACAAGTGGACTATCTGGTATAGCACAAGTAGCTGACAATGTCTTTCATTCACATCATAAAGATTTTACTTTTTCCTATTTTTATTTACTTAAGTTTCCAAAGTTCCAAATCCTTAACCAAATAATTACAGGGCACATGTCCCTAATAACAGTAGAAAAAGTCTTCAAATATCTATATACTTATATATAAAGCTTATAGAAAGTCTTTTCCATCCCTCATGCTCTAATAAATAACATACCATGTAATCACTAAAGATGAAAAAGGTTATATTCAAATAAAGTGTGAATATGGATTTTGTACATAACTGAAAGGCAAATTTTGTTACTTCAATTTTAGAATAAAACCTATCCAGAAAAAAAAATTGATAAATAAGCAGAAGACTGTGAAAATTCAGTAAAGATTACAGTGACTGATAAAATCCATCATGGACTTTGCAAATTAAAAAAAAAATCAAAATAATCACATTTCTGTTTTTGATAGGAATTATGAATGAGGCTTAGAGAAAGAGAGAATAATAAAAAAAAATACATCTTGTCTTTTGAGGACCTCACGTGATAATCTGGTAGATAAGATGATGAAATATGATAACTAAGAGTTTTGCTGCTACATTCCACTCAGCCGTTAGTCATAATGTCAGTATCGACAAAGTCTGTAATATGAAAGAACTCACTTGTATGAAGCCTGTCAGATCTCTGGAATGCTTTCTTCCCCAAACCTGGCAAGGGGTTTTCAACTTTAACTGAAGAAGAGGAACTAGAATTTGAATTCTGGGGACTGCTTGACTGTCCATCTGACTGCTTTCCTTCCCACACAGCTGGAAAAAAGAAAGAGACTTAAATAAAAGTCACACCGAAGAGCTAGGGGAAATTAATGACCATATTTCAATAAATCAGTAAACAAATACTAATTGTCTATGAAGAAGACATTGTGATTTAGGCACTCCACTCTCTGGGGTTGCCATGACAACACTGTTTACATATACATACTTTCTTGCACATTACAGTTAAGATTCTTAAAACATCAAAAGCAAGCTTGGTTACCCCATATAATCAGCCTAATGATTAGTAGCAAACTGGACTTTATAGGGGAAAAGAAAATTTCTACACACAGCACGGTTTTTATTTTGATAGCCCAAAAGACTTGGGCATATCTCCCCATGGGAATGCAATAGCAGAATTTATTCCAAGAAAAATTATTATTATTATTATTATTATTATTATTATTATTATTTTTCTTTTTACTGTCAGCTTAAACAAAAATGGAACTAAATCAAAGAGTACAAGATAAAAGGGGCTTAATTTCAATCAGGCCTGAGCCTAACTTCAAAAATAAATGTATATAAAACAAAAATGAACAGTCTTTACGAAGACAGTCACTTCCTAGGCCTGCTAAATAGATGATTCCAATATATTATTAGAACAGCATTAACTGAATCATTCTGTGCAAATTCCTTTGATGTCTCCCTAAGTTTTTTTCAAGGTTTAACACCTAAGAGCTTTCTCCATATACTTTTCTTCTCATTTGATTTCTATAGAGGTTATGTTGTATGTGCATGGTGGTGCACAAGAGGAACTGAAGAGGGAATAAGAGGGGAAGGTAGTAAGGGATTTATTATATATCAACATAAATAATAAAATTTTGGCTCAGCACATGGAAAAATGGCACTGTAATATGAAGAAAAGGTACAAAGACTCTATCTATCCCCTGAAGATAATGTCAGTCTGCTTACCAGGTTTAGCGGGCACAGGGTCACTAGCTGCTTTGACTGTCTTCAGCAGAAGATGCTGATTAGAGGAGATGGGCATGCTTGTTCGACATTGCTGCTGCTGCTGTTGCTGCTGTTGTTTCTTTTGCTGCTGCTGCTTTAAAGCCTATAAAGAGAACATCACTTAACTATCAAGAGAGTTTCCAAAGATGAAGGGGTAATAGAGCACAAAACATAACTATGTTTTAAAGCTAAGAAACTATTACTCATTCAGCAAATATTTTAGCACATATCTATGAATCATGAAATAAAGTTATGCCCCTATTGTGATCTAGTTTCAATGAACTTCCACATACAAAATCTCATTTTATCCCTGAAATTCCAAGTTCTTCAACAATATTAACATTTTTGGTTGGCAGAAATATGAACAACATGCAATATAATAGAAAGTTGGATTCAGATAAGTTTTCTATCCCAAATTTACTTTTATGAATAGCAAAGCTAGAATTAAAAATAAGACTTTGAACTTCCAATCTGCTTTACAGAGAAAATTATTTGAACACTGTTTATAAAGTATAGATGCAAACATATATAGAAAAGTCTCTAGTTTGAAGATACTCAAGAGATAAAGCTACAAACAATTTGAGAGAATGTTTGAGATGTAACCCAATGGTTTGAAAATAAACACCATTGAAGGTATTGAAGGAGAAGATGTGAGGAGAGAAGAGGAAGATCTGCAAAGTGAACAGAGAGTTAAAAAGAGAAGTCCTCACTATGGGATTTCTATTTCTGAATTATATTTTAAAATAGAGGAATGATGGGCTTGTCCAAAGGCTGGTAAAAATGTAATACAAGAGTACTTGCCTAAACAGCTATGTCTATATTTATATGCAGACACAGACATCTCACATACATATGTATATGCAAAGTATTATAAAGGAGGGATTCTTACCCTTATTATCACAGATTTCCTTGACAGCCTGGTAAAGCCTATAGAATCTTTTTCCCAGAATAAATTTTTTAAATGCATAAAATACACAAGATTTTACAAAGAAAACCAATTATAATGAAATATAGCCATAAGAACATTTTAAAAAAAGTTTAAGGACTCCAGGTTAAGAGCTTACTATAGAGGGTAGCTATTACACAGAAAGAAGAACAGCAGATATCCAAAAATCCCACCTTATTTAATTTGGGCTATATTCTAGTCGGTCAAAATCTTTTTGGATCTCATCCTCTATCCCGACCGAGTAAGTTAGCTATCATTCCCAGGTTTGTACCATATGCAAATCATTATTAATGAATTTGATAAATGGGCCATCTATTCCTTTATCAAAGATATTAATAACAATTACATGGCACAAGGTCAAAGACCCATCCTATTAAAGACAGCTCTGTAAGCTGACATCAATACAGTAATGACTGCTCTGTGTATGGGTCCTATCATGCAAACATCTCTAACATATTTATGCTATCATTGACCCTACCTTTCCAGCTAGTCTATAAGAATGGTATAAAAATTCAGAAAGGCAGCCAAATACAGTAAAAAGAACAATGGAAGTGGAATCAGAAGACCTGGGTTCAAATCTGTGGTACTGTGGGCAACTTAAGTTCTCTCTTTAGGCCTCAGTATCCTTATCTGCAAAATGTGGAGATTAGACTACTTAACCTGTGAAGTCCTTTCCAGTGCTAAATATATGTCAATGCTCTATGAATTTCACAGGAGACAAAATCCTAGGAAGACGCCAGCAGTAAAAACTAAGACCGCAGACATAACATAAACAAAGTATAACTTATTTGCAACAATCAAGATGAACTAAAAATCCTAAGGAAAGTAGGTAAATTTGACCTCAGAGGCACCACTATGACTTGGCATGGTATAGCCCATGATGTAATACAAAAGTGTATGTACTTCATCAACAGCAAAAGGATAGATTAAAAAGGGAGGGAGAGAGGTTGGTTAATGGAGAAGAGCAGAATTGTACATTAAGAAGATATACTGAGGTGAAGAAATCCAGGAAACCAGAGTGGAGGAGAGCATGGTGAAGAGAGAGCACTGGGATGAAGACAAATGAAACCAGAGAGGTAGCCATAGTGTAGCAGAGAGTGAATTGGCCTCAAAGTCAAGAAAAGCTGAAAACAAGCAACATCTCTTACACATAATGACTGTGTGACTAGAAGTCACTTAATCTCTCAGGAGCCAGGGCAAGCCTGTCATCTCCTAGAGGAAGTAAGTTGTCTGATGTGTACCTTAGATATTGGGATGTTCAAGGAGAGAAAGGTAAGAATCCTCTGGACTTACCTTCTATAGGGAAGGAAGTATGGGAAGGATGGGAAAAGGGGGAGCTACCTAAACAAGATTCATTAGACTGTGAGCTCCTTGAGATTAGGGACTCTTTTCTGCCTCTCTTTGAATCCTCATCACTTATTACAGTGCCTGGCACACAGGGGTCCTTAATAAATGCTTTTTGACTGGACGAATGTGAAGTCACTAACTTAGATATCCTTCTTTCTCTCTTTTTTTTTTGGTCAGGCAATTGGGGTTAAGTGACTTGTCCAAAGACACACAGCTAATGAGTGTTATGTGTTTGAGGACTCAGGTCCTCCTGACTCCAAGGCCGGTGCATCTAGCTGCCCCAACTTAGATTTCTTAAAACACACACACACACACACACAGAGAAATGTAAGAAAAGATAGGTAACAGATGATGACCATAGAAACAGAGAATAATCTCCCAAAAGTAGCATTAGAACAGCTAAAGAATAGAACGACATGAAGCAGGAAAGAAATGCTACGAACAACAAAGAGGTTGTTTATTTTGGGGCAACACATATTGGTGAGAAGAGGTAGCTCAAAGAAGCATACAAGTGCTCAGCAAAGAGGGAACAATGATAATGGAAATTATTTTATCTCTTCTTTTGTTTCTTTGACTTGGAAAGGACAGAAAAAAACTGGCTAAAAGGGAACTGAAACTCATTATAAGTAAGGAAACTCCAAGAGAGTTAGCTGTCCTTAAGTTCACATAATCTGGTCAAGATGAGCTCTGTTCCAGATATTGAAAATATCGACAGACGGATTTCAGAGTCATTATCAGCAAGAGACAGGTGTACAGCAGAAGGGACACAGGAGAGCAGTCAGATGACCTCAGTTTAAGTTACAGCTCTATCACCTGAACATTGAACCTCTAAGGGGCTCAGTTTTTTCATCTATAAAATGAGGGCGTTGGACTAGATGGGCTTTAATGCCTCTTCTAGCTCCAACAATGTTTGAATCTTTAAAAACCTGTGGAGAATCAAAGAATATAACCCAAAGAAATCAAAGAAATAGGGAAAGGATCCATATGTACAAAAATATTTATAGAAGCATTTTTTGTTGTAGCAAAAAACTGGAAACAAAGGACAATAATTGAATAAATTACTGTACATGAAAAGTAATGAAATATTATTGTGCTACAAAAATATGAAAATTGATTCAGAGAAACCTGGGAGGGCTTCTATGAAGTGATCCAAAGAAAAGTGAATACAACTAGATAATTAATTTATATGACTACAATATTATAAAGGAAAAGAACTTTGAAACACTTAAGAATTCTGATCAAGCAATGGGTCAAAGCATATGAAATGTTTAGTGATAGCTCTTATCTACCTCTAGTTGTTTTAGAGAATGGTTATGATTCACATTCTACCGGAAGAATATCCCAAAGCCAAGGCCTTTAACACCAGCTCTGTCTTTCACTATCAGAGAGTATTAGGTCAAACTCCCAGATGCTTTAGTTTGAATTCCTCCTATCATTAGTAATCTAGAACAGTTGTTCACATGGTTGCTGGGCTCCCCTCACCAGAGTTCTTCAAACACCTGAAGGGGTCAAGCACTTCTATAGCAATGGAAGGGATTCTCAGTTAGTTGTACCAGAAGACCTCTTAAGTTCTTTCCTAAACAGATTTTTACATGGGTAATGAAGAAAGCTGACTGACTTATACTCACCCTGGTTTGCTCCCTATGGTTGTTCCAGAGTATTTGCTTACTTTTTTAGTATTCCCAGTCTACAGAATTTTTAATATACTATAATCCAAGAAAACCCCAAAAGCAAAAAACTAAAAGGTCTCTATAAACTCTCATAATTGCTACCTAAAGAACAAACTTCTAGTTTGAAAGTGTAGAAGCAGGACAGCTAGGTGGCGCAGTGGATGGAGCACAGGCCCTGGAGTCAGGAGGACCTGAGTTCAAATTCAGCCTCCGACCAAACACTTGACACTTACTAGCTGTGTAACCCTGGGCAAGTCACTTAACCCCAATTGCCTAAAAATAAAAAATAAATAAAAAAAATAAGAAGAATTAAAGTCTAGAAGCTCAAATAAAGTAGGAAAGTCTTACCTCCATTTAGTCAAAAAAGGAATATTAAGACTTTATATTCTGGCTTTTCTAAGTCGATAAACTTAAGTTTTATTCCCCAAAGTGCATTAGGCTAAAGGTACATAAAACAGGCTAGCTCAGACTACCAAATTCTCACTCCAGAACAGGCTTCTGATCTCACATAAAACCTACCCTTGGTTGTTCTCCTGTCATAGAGGATGTAAGGGCCAGAGAACCTGATCTCCCTGTTCTTAGTTGCCTGCTGAGAAAAGTAGGCCTGAAAGTCAGGCTCAGATCTCATTTAGATTTACCTGGAAAAGAAGACTTTGGGATAAGAAAAAGGTGAGGCAGGGTAATGAAACCATGGAAAGTTGAAGTTGCTCTGTATGGACAGAGATTATCTTGTTTCATCTTTGTATCTAGTGCATTGCACATAATAGGCACTCAATAAATATTAGCATTAAAATAGTTTTACCACTTGTTCAATTCTGCTTCTCTCATTTCTTTTTTAACAGGCTGAAAAATATTCTGAGATTTGCAGACTGACAAGAACCTTGTTGCTCACTGAGCGATACAGACTAACCATGGCAACTGAATCAAATGTTTCCATGCCACTACATTCTGCTATGGTCATGTAACAAAGCATAGAGTCAGAAGAGCTTCAAAGTTCTCTTAAACAAAAATTCCAATCAACTCCTTTTTCTCTGTGACTTGAAAAACTCCAAACCCACAAATTACCTGTATTGCAATTCTTAAAAATTAAAATCTTATCACTAAAAGAAACTCATAAGACAGCAAAATTTTTTTGAAAGTACTAACATTCCCATTCAGATTTCCATTCTAAAAGAAATGGTCAAAGCATCAAACTAATCCTACATAAAACTGCTTGCATGATTACTATGCACATTACAGATTCACTGTCAAACCTTGAAAAATAACTGGTCTTACATTTCTCCTCAAAGAAGCATTTGTATTTCATAATTCAGCAAAGAAGGCATATCAATGACCATGGGTATAGACTAAGGAGGAGCTTTGACATTTAAGAATATTGGAAATTATTTGAAGTTCTTCAAAGCCTTCATAAAACTTTCAAAGGTAAACAGTGTTTCTGGTTTAAAAACCAAACTGAACTTTAATAACGAAGTTCTGGGGCAAGTAGAAAGTCAACTGTACTTTATCCCTGGCAGATGTCATTCCAAGCACGTGTGATATAAATGGTTATTGATTTTGTTTAGCGATGGTACATTATTTATCCACTTGCATATAACAGTTTTTAATCTTTCTTTGTGCTTTCGTCTTAATGCTTTTAGAAGTCATTTGAAATTTTCCAAGTATACTGCCCTCCACCCCACAACCCTTCCCAAATTGAAGTATCTTAACTAATTATTTCTCAGGGTGAATGAAAACAGACACATGGTGTTGAATGTGGATCTACACTTCTGATGAGCACACTCTAGCCTGATTACCTGTTTCAGTGCCTTCTTGCTGTGCTTCTGGGATGGAGAGATGACTTTACCAGCTGAGATGGAGGGAGATGGACAGCTTGACTGGGGGGAAGATGGCTGTGACAGTCTAGACGATACTAGGGAAAAAATAAAGAAAAATGAAAACCAAAAATAATGTTGTCAAGGGAGATACCAAGTCCCAATTTCTAGAAAGCATTAAGAGGTATCATGCCTTTGTGTTCCATGGGTATAAAACTGGGCCCATGTGTTTTACCTAGGGAAAGTTCTAAAACAAGCAAGCAGTCCTTTCTACGAAAGGGTTGAAAGCATACTGCCTCACACATCAAAAATACTCAGTAAGTATTGAATTCCAATACATTCCTTCACTTGCATTCTTTAATTCACTAAAGATGGATGAATTCACTAAAGTTCTAAAACACTGAATGCTAACCTAGCGTCACCACATTAACCATAGCCTATTAAGATAAGCCTAAAGTGGTTTTGGTGCTGCAATCAAGAGTTATGACAGTCTAAAAATAAAATAAAATTGAATTTTTAAAAAAATGATGGCAATGGGTGGAAAGAGAAAGAGCAGTGGACTGGGAGATCCGGATTCTGGTCTGGCTCTACCACTAACTAGCTGTGACCTTAGGTAAGTCACTTAACTACTTTATAGCTCATTTTCTTCATCTATAAAATAAAAGAGTTGGAAAGGATTATCTATAAGGTCCCTTTCATCTTTAAAATTCAATGAGGCTTTGGGATACTTCCAATAAATGTGTGTGTGTGTGTGTGTGTGTGTGTGTGTATTCTCTCTCTCTCTCTCACACACACACACACACACACACACACACACACACACACACACACACACCCCTTGACCTTTTCCGATTGTGATTGTAACCAATGAAATCACAGGACTGGTCCCCAAAACGATGGATAACTAGTTTAATGAAAGCTATGTGGCATGATACAGAAGTGGTGGTCACAGTCTCCTACTACAAATAAACTGCAAACCACCTTGAGTTTTTCTGAGCCTAGGTCCTGAGTAACTGTGAAGTGTTTCCAAAGGTGAAAGCTTCTGCCTATGATAATTCGAGAATATTGGTGGGCAAAATAGTTTAATTTAGTTTTGAATTATCATCAATATGGGCACCAAAGGAAAGTAGAACTAAGAAGTCTTAGAAATGGGATGAAGAACAAAGAAAGTATCTTGGGAAATGATGTGAAATAAACCGTGCTAGTATATTTCCTGATTCTGGATGTCTTCCTATTGAATAAGGATACTTAAAAGCACCCTATTCCTATATCTCCTTTTCTATCTTTCTATGAGAAAATACCCAATGGGAAGGAAAATAATGAGAAAAGGAGACAAAAGGGGATAATAATGGGAAGAGGTATAGAAAAAAAAGTAGGGCAGAAGGTTAGGGATTAAAAACTCACTCCCTCCTGCCCACCCTTCCCCCCAATACTACTTTGGCTATGATTCTTTCAAAGACAAAAAATTTGGAAAATTCTCTACTGAAGTAAAGGCTTAGGTGGGAGTGGCAAAAATACACTGATAAGAATGGGAAAGAAAATTATTCTTGCCTGCAATTCAATGCACAGGGTTATACATTCATGTTACTATACATAAGTAATTCAGCTTTTCACTTCCTGGGACCATCTTGTCTTTCTAGGCAGTCCATTCTTCCAGCCAGACCACCAGAGACCATGCCTCCCAGAGCTAAGGGACTCAGCTCTGTACTACTCAGGCCCACACTGCCTCAGCTTCCTCTGGTCACCTTCTGTCCTATTGCTCTTGCTGCTGCTGCTGCTCTATCCTCCAAATTTGACCACCAGAGTCCATACCTAGGAGGAAATAAGCCACTTGAATCTGCACTTCCTGAAACCTTGCCTTCACCTTTATCCTGGCTATTTTCCACCTTACTGCCCCCAATTCATTTACTCTTCCTCCTCTCCAAGTCCAATTTCTACTTCTTGCTCCAACAGGAGTATACCAAACACTAGCACTGTATGTGTACATACATATGTATATACATGTATGTATACATAAAGTCTTCAACATTAGAATGTAATCTCTTTCCAGACAGGAACTGTCTCTCTTTTGTAGAAAAATCCTCAGCACTTAGCATAGTGCCTAGAACATCCTAAGTACTTAATGAATATTTTTCATTCATTCGATGAAAAAAATGCAAAAAACTGGCATGCGCGCGCGCACGTGTGTGTATGTGTCTCTTAGTTTTACTAACATCTGAAGTTAGTGACAGCAGAAAGAGGTCAGTCTTCAAGGTGAAGGATTATACCTTTATCTACACTATAGAAACCCCACAGCACTCAAACTTTCTGATTCTCTCAGTGCTGAACACAATGATTTCTATTTAGTAGGAACTTAAGGCATGTTTTGTTAAATTAAGTATCCAAAGGAAAAGACTTTCTTTGGTCTTCCAGAAGCCCTCCATACTTTGTAACATTGCAAAGAATAAAATTATTTCATTATATCACCACAGTGGGTACACACTCAGCCAAGGTAGATGGTAGCACTTCCTTACTTTAGCAGATGGCATTCATGAGCTGTTTCAGCTGAGAAACTCATAAGCTGGTGGTCAATCATATCGTAATGAATGAGCCTCCCTGAATTTAGCTAGGCTACTCCTGAAACAGTTCTACAATAGGTTGAGTTCATATTCACCATCTTTCTACTTCTGCAGTGCCTACTAGAGTCTGCACTCTGTCAGAACAATCCCTGAGGTCCCAGGGCTGCTAACACATCACAGGGAAGCATTATGATCAAATTAAAACTGCCATGACTATAAAAATGCCACCAGTAATGGGCATGTGCACTCCTTTCTATTCTCCCTCTCCCTTTTTGGTAAATTCCCAAACTTTCAAAGCAAATGGATTAGAATATGCTAAGTTGGCTAAAAGGCAGGGTCAAATATTCAAAAACGAAGATCTACACACAGTATGACAGCCAACTTTTCAACATCAAAGTGTAACACAGAGGCACAGTGGGATCTGTAGTGTAAAGGGAATCATCTCCACAGGTAAAGTCTTATTTTTTTCTTTGAATTGTCAATGTGAACTGCAGCCCCCAAATAGAGTTTTGAGGAAATTCTTTATTGGGGGGAAAAAAAGTGATTTTTCTCATAACAAGTCCAAGATGAGATGAAATAAAGTAAATTAAAGTTAAAATAAGTAAAATAAAGTAAATTAAAATGAATTCAATGGAACACTCCATATAACTAAAAGCAGTTGCCATTAATTCTAAGATACTTTCCTTGAAAAAGGAAATAACAACATCCAGCAAACTTAATTCAGGGGGGTGTTACCAATGATTCAACTAAAATAATAATGGGAATGAGATTTCTGTTTGTCAGTATTTTGCAATAAATAAATAAATAAATAGATAAATAGATAAATAAATAAATAATTTAAGCGCCTAACTATTTTACCTGTATGTTTTTAAAAAGGAGGTCTTCTAGGTATCTCAAAGTTGATATGTTCAAAAAAGAACTCATTCCTCCTGTTCCAAACTCACCCTTCCCCAAACTTCTCTATTTTTTGTCAAGGTTACCACCATCCTTCAAGTCATCCAGGATGGCAACCTCAAATACATCTTCAGCTCTTCATGACCTCCAACACATCTAGACAGTTGCCAGATCTTTTCAATTCTATTTGCTTAACATTTTTCACATGTTCCCTTCTCTATATTCACCTAACCACTAACCCATTCAGGCCCTCATCATCTCTCAACTCTACTACAGCAGTAGTCTCCTAACTTGTTTTCCTGCTTCCAGCCTCATCTGTCTCCAATCTACATTGCACACAGCAGCCATGCTCATATTCCTAAAGCACAGGTCAAGCATTCACCTGCTCAAGAAGCTCCTGTGGCTCCCCATTACCTCTACAACAAAATACACACACCTATGTTTGGCATTTAAAATACTTCACAATCTGGCTCCATATTTACCCTTCCCTAAAATATTTTCTATGTCTCCTTTAAATGTATCACACCCTATAAGAATTTATTAGCATCACCTGCAGAGAAATATTGCAGGGTTATCCTAACTGATCTACCAGCTTCTACTTTCTTTGCCCTGCTCCCCTTGACCACTCACAACTCCTGTCAGACTCATCTTTCTGTAAATTTGTTCATCTATTTAGCATCCTTCAATGGCTACTAAGTTCAAACTGATTAGGTTGGCATTCAAAGCTTTCTACATCCTAGTGCCATCCTACCTTTTCCATATTATCATGTGCTCTTCCTAACCATCTCTGATATCCTGTATTACATGGAAACTTGACTACCTAATAAATTCAGATAATCCCTACTCACCCATTTCCATGCCTTTGCCATATGCCTGTAATCTCATCTTCTCTCACTAGGGCTACTAAATTTTTATCTACTGTGTGAAGTTCCACTTAAATGCTCTCTTTTCCACGAAGTGTTCCTTAGTTCTCCTGTACTAGCACTAACATACTACTTTTATTTGCTCCTACCTACCTTACACACATATGCATTATTTTGTGCTATGCATTATTTACAGCATATTTTCCCTATGAGGGAGTAGTCTATTTTATTTAAGCTTCATTTTGCTACCCCTCAGTGTCTAGGATGATGGAATCATAGGTTTGAGTTGAAAGACACCTTACAGTGTCTTTTGGCTACTAGTCCAGTATGATATTTTACCTATAAGGAAACTGAGGCCCTTAAGGGTGGAGACTGTTGTACTGTCTTTGTTGACTGTACTTTGTCTTTGTATCCACAAGGCATAGTGCCTCATATACGACTGGCTGATTGCCCAAGATCACAGAAGGCAGAGCAAAGATTTTAAAATCCAAATTTCACTCTTTCTAATGTAAATAACTGCCTCTTTGTCCTGCACAGTTACATGCCTAGTAAATCTTTTATGGGAATGTCATATTCTTTCATCCTTCAGTGAAGTGGAAGTTTATGAGGGCAGGAATCACACCCCATTTAATCTCTGTAATATCTCCAATGTCTAGCACAGTGTTCTCCACTTCACAAGTCTTTAATAAAAGTTTGTTTAAATGAAATAAACTGAAGAAGGATAAAACGTTTGCTGAATTGATAATGAAGAGGGAGATCCCCTCTAGAAGGCCTCAATTTTAT